GGGGAGGGACGGGGAGGAAAGGGAGGGCATGGGCCGAGGTGGGGGGAGGTGGGAGGCAAAGACCCGTCGCGAGGACGACGATGGGTGATCAATGGTGCGAATGCATGACACTAACAAGGTTTTGGAGGGTGTGGCACACGTCATTGGCATTCGTCCTTCGCCTGTGCCGAGGGCCAGCACCATCACCCTCCGTGTCTACGAAGGCGTCAGACAGGACCCTAACCCGTCCCTGGGAGCGGAGACGAGTCACTACCAGGGCCTTGTGCGTGGCATGAGCGGGTTCTTACCTTCCAAGAACCCCGGGAGGACGGAGAAGAAGTAACAAGTGTGGTCCATGTCGGTGTAGGCATTCGAATGCCCGCCGTTTTGCTGTCCGGAGATGTTTTAAAAAAAAAAAGTCGGTCAGAACTTCGCACGCAGTGAGACACGTGACCTTTCTGTTAGATATCACTTTGAAGCCCTCCCGCCCGCTCCCTTCCCCTCTTCCTCTTCCTCCTCGTACGTTGAGGTACTTAGAATAGGCCTGTTCATCCGGGTATTTTTCTGTGCCCAAGAAGAGCATATGCTCACAAAAATGAGCCAAACCTTCCACATCACCATCGTGCAGACTGCCTACACCAACGCTCATGGCCGCAGAAGCCTTGTCCGTGGTCGGGTCGTGGATGAGAAGCACCTGAAGAAGCGGGATGCAAAGGAAGTGAAGTCACGGTCGACAAGGATGCAGAGATTGCTCGGCAACATGAAGGCGACAAAGAGAGGTACAACATGTGCACGTAGGTACAAGACGGAAAAGGTTCCCATTGAGCAAGCGGCAAATAAGCCAAGAGGAGAGGACATACAGACAACAGCCATGTCCCCCCCTTATCCCCACCACTGCCATGCCGACGATTCCAAATATGTGCACAAAAGCGACCCACTGCCACCGTCCATCATCCACGACCCCCAAGGCTTTGATATGTCGTCATATTTACCTGCAATCCATTTTCGAGCTCCAATGCGCGGTAGGTCCGGTCATCGGCTGGACTCTGCTCTATCCGACCTAGATCTTTCCCCATGCCTGCTGGACGCCCTGACAAAGACTGTCAATTAACGTGTCTGTAGCGTCCCCTGTGAAGTTTGTGCTTTTGTCAATGACACGATGATAGAAATGGATGTACTTTTTTTTTCCCAAGCCGAAATGCGATTTTTTTCAACGAACAGCTCCGTAGTTGCTGCTCTCTCCCTTCATCCTCGAAAGGAATGAGATAACCCGTCCTGACAGCTACTTAGCCATGCCAACATTCATGATTCGCGACAACCGTCCCCTCGATCAGCTCGAGGACTACATCTCACGTCCTACTTGCCAAGACCCCTCCTACACTTCGGGCCGCCGAAATAATGACGCACTATCGCCCACAAGACTTGCTTTCCTGCTCAGCGAGAGGGGATGAACCTGACTTGTACACTCCCCTTTTTTTGGACATTTTCGACCGCCTCGTTGTTCGTTTCCCCACCTTTGCACGCACAGGATGAGGAGTACACGTGTCAAATGCCGTCCTGCGTGGCTGGTGTGGTCGGTGATGGGTTTTATTCTCCTAGTTGTCGTCTTGCTGCCCCCATATAGCCAGGCGGCATTCGGCCTCACCTCCCGCCGGCCCCCCCCTCTAGCGCCTCCTCCTCTACCTTCTGCACCACCCACCTCTATGGGTGTGCCTTTGGCACGCAATGATCCTTCCTCGCAAAAATGGGATGCCGAAAATGACGACGCAAGTCCTCCACAACCGTCTCTCTTGGAGGAGATCCTACGACGCCTCCGCGGAGATTTCTCCCATCCGTTGACGGAATCGACCCGTCTGGTGGTGCATTACGACTGTCGTGACTATCGCTCAGGCCTTCGGGGCTTAGGGTTGCGGCACGTGTGGCGCGACGTGGGCCTGAGTCTGTTGAGCGATGAGGACACGGCCACTGACGCGGCGTTGCCCATGAGCCTGGGACCGGCGCTGGGAGAACAAGGTTGGCGCACCTGGTGTTTCCCTTGGGAAATCAGAGGAGGCGTGTCGGTCAAACGGATCCAAGGCGTGAGCGTCCCACAATTCTGGCGGATGCGCCGGGTAAGGGGGGCGGGCGTGCACGGAAGGAAGCGTGCGTGTCGGACCCCCCTCTGTCTAAGCTCTCGGCCCTCCCTGTCTGCGTGCGCTCTGTCTGCACCCCGTCCTCTGGGCTTTTCGTGGGCCTTCGTCGTCTATGTGTGGACCCGATCTCAA